TATGCTTATAGACACACTTGTAAATATCAAATTCTGTTCTCATAAATGTCACTAAACACTGCATTTATATTACAGTTTCTCATGATATCTTAAACTACACTGTCTTGCCTCAGTCCTCTTACCTTCTGTTGGTATCTCAGGGTATTGTATTATAAGTCTTAAATCCACTCCTGCAAAGAAATCTGAACAGGAATGTTCGTCACCATGACATTTGGAGAAAAACCAATATTAAAGTACTCTTGAGTTTAACATTTCATAACATAAGAAAGATCTGAATACTCAACACATAACACGTGTCACATAAACAATATCTACCTTCACCTCAGTACAATGGAAGTGACTGTAATTACCAAAGTGATGAAAATTTCAGTTTTCAAATTATTCAGCATCGGTATGTCTTCACAGAAACAGACAATCCACAGACCTTGCAGAGGAAAGTTTTTTTGTTAACTTTCTACTTCACAAACTGTCTCTTCGGAAACTGCTGACACTGTGAACTCTTTTGTGCTGTAAAGTTGTCTATTCTGTTCAACTTTTACAATCCAATACAAACTCAACCACCACAAACAAACAAATCCATCCAGTTTGTGAATAAAGGACACTCACAAAGTTTACTCTCTGGAGATAGTAAACGTGGAGTGAGGGTTCGCTCAGTGCATTCAGATGGAAAAAATAAAAAGAGGCAACATGAAAGAGCTGCAGATTATCCAAGAGGTTTAGGAGAGTAAATTGGTCGAGCTTTGGCTGCAAAGACGGATTATTGGAGAAGAAAACAGTCAGAGTAACGGCCATACTTACTGATTCTGGTCCTGGAGTTTCTGGATTGTTACCTCGTAGATGCACTAACTAACCCCTTCCTCTTTTATTTCTCTGAGTCTTGGGAGTGAAACTGAGGGATAAACCATTAAAGAAGCCATCGCCTCTCCCAGTGTAACCAATTGGACTTCTCTTTTCATACTGATCCAATACAAAACAAGGTTCAAAGAGTTTAAAATCTCTCAGACCTCGTTCTGACTTTTCCTGCACCCTGTTTCTGTCTTTTCCTCATTTTGTGTTTGTTTTTGTTTGATCTCCTCTTTCATGGTGGACTGTCAAATGTTAAACCCATTTTTTTTTTTTAGAGAAAATCGATCCTGTAAAGATTTGAATTAACTGGGATTATTTGTTTTTATTCTACTTGTGCAGTCATGGTTTCATGTAAAAGTAAAAAGGATTACAGAAAGATGTTTTTCCTTTCGAGACCATGTGTGTGCGTGCGTGCGTGCGTGTGTGTGTACAAAATAATAGGAGGTTCTAGCTTGACTTATCCCAGGTTTGAGGGACCTTGAGTTGTTATATTTCATCTTCAGTTATTAAAACTGCTTGAATAAGTAGGCTATAAGGGGAAGAGAGGATTTTTAAAAACTTGTTTGGGGGCTCCTGGCAACCTGAAGCCTTTAAATTGGTAAAATGATGGATGGGATGGGTCACTCGCTCTGTCCTATTGGCTGCCCTACAATCACATCTCACTGAAACAGATGTTTCCTCCCGCTTGGAGAAAAGTGACTCATTTGCTCATATTTCATATTTACCCAGATTCTTGTTAAATCTGAATTATGCATCTATTTGTTTCTCTACTTAATTAAGTTTCCAGTGATCTGTGGTGACAGACATTTCTCACATGATCAAATGTTCTTTGAAGGGATATTTCGGCGTAAAATTAAGTTTTGGTCAAACATACAGTAACACAGAGTTAGACACCCCCTCAAGAGATGAATGTTGCCGACTGCTTGCTCCTCTTATTATACCAACTTTAGTAACAACTGCATGATAGCAATACACAGTGGTCTACGTCTCCATACAAAAACCTCAACCAAAACGCCACTCTATAGTCACAAATAATGCTCAGAACAGCACCTAACTTCATCAACAGTACATATAGGGTCCCAGCCATAGTACTAGCCACCAAACATCTTTTAGCTTTGCCTGATTTCTTTAGCAAAGAGACTAAACATAACTCACCTACTCCCCTCCAGCAGCTGCTTGTTTGTGAGGGCGAGCCCTGATGAGTCGATCACCAAGTGCAGTGGATCATTTCCATATAGTAATAATCATCATAATAATAATACTGCAGACGCAGACGTGGTAGTTCTTCTGCCTTAGCGTCTCGGTCTGATTGCATTTCCATGAAGTAATAATCATAAATGTTCTTCCTTGAGCTGCGAAACTCCGCTGCACTCTGTGATCGACTCGTCAGGGTAACTCAGAATTAATTCGGTGTTACAGTGTGTTTGACCACAACTTCAATTTATGCCAGAATATCTCTTTAACATACATAACTCAGGTCAGTGCTATTGGGTTCAGGTTTGTTTTCCCTCAGCACTTAATGAGTACTTTGATTTAAGCTCATGCCATAAACCATCAGGTGTCCTTTAGCTTTTTTTTTAGACAACATTAATTTTGTGTGTAACCTGAGGTGCACAATCAAACTTTAGACTCACCACAGGGATCATCTGACTTTGTGTCATCATGTTTGGTGAATTTCTTTGTGCTGTACGCTCACATGGCAGTCAGTAGTTTCACATGAAACCAGCTGCTGCAACTCCAGCAGCTCATGTGGTTTGAAAGCAAACAGCTAATAGACCTTTTGCAGTAAATGTGACAAATCTGTGTGTTATTTTGAGCTGGATTGTAGCTGTTGTGTTTCTGATTTTCTTTGCAGACTTGATTTTTCCTTCTGCTTTTGGTCTTGTCTCAATGTTCACTGTTGTATTTTAACATGGGACAACTAGACGCCTTCAATACTAATGATTTATTTAGCTGAGTGTGTAAAACAGTCAGTGACTATTCAACTCTGATAACTCTACCCCATCTGTTGTATGTAGTCCTCAATGGGTCAACTTTATCATTTTTATTCCTTGGCTTTTAGTTCAGCATGAGAGTTCCTTTCATGTCTTTTATGGTCCTTTTATCACTTCTACTTTTTTTATGTGTTTCTTTCATTTCTTTAATTTTAAATGCTTTTTACCTGCTTTTTTTTTCCCAGATTTTTTTCCTTTTTTTTTAACTTCTGAAGTGTTTGTTGTTTTGTTCTATTTTACTGTGCAGCACTTTTGTAAACTTGAATATGTTTAAAATATAATATAAAAATAAAGTGGATTGGATTGGATTGGATAATTTAATCGTGGTAATGAAATGGCTCCATGCCGGAAATCCGGCGCCCTGCCGGAGAGCTTTAAACCCTGAAAGACGTCAATGAAACATGAAATCTTCCTGCATTCACTCTGCCTGATATTCTTCTTTCTTAGGACGAAAATGTGAGTAAAGAGTGACTGTATATGAGAATGTGATTAATGCTACTTTTTTGATAGTACTCTGAACTATTTGAAAGAAGTAGGGCTGGGTGATGAAAATTTACAGCTACCAAAATTTGCGAATATTACCAATGTCATTTGCCCATGTCAATATATTTGGTGTCAAAAAAAATAAAAGTTGTTTTTGGATGTGTGTAGGTAGGCTATACTCTCATGTGCCTTTAAGACGCTGTCCTACGTCTGAGACGTGCCTCCACCCCATCCAGTCCATCACAAAGAGGGAAAGACAGGTGAGGAGATGGAGGATGGTTCAAAAGTTGTAGTGGCTGGAGCAGCAGCTGAAGTAGATGAAGTTAATGTGGGAGGGGGTGAGCAGCTTGTGGAGTAGATCGTCCATTTATCATTATCAAGGTGAACTGCTTAATATATCTTGAAGACTCCAAAATCAGGCAACTGGACTGTGTAGAGTTGAGTAGACGTTTTGCCTCTTATCCAAGAAGCTTCTTCGGTTCTAAATTGCTCGTGTGAGGAGCAGATATTTATTTTACTGGAGAAGGGGACAGACAACGACTGGGAATATGGCGTTTGCCAAAGATCCTCTTGAGTTTTTCTGACAGGCCTGCAACGAAAGGGATTACAGTGCTCTTGCGTCTCTCCTCCCTTTCGTATTCAGTGTTATTTCTCTTTCTGTTCTTCACTAGGGCATTTTTGATGTGCTTCTGTTCCTTTTCCTTACCTTCTTTCTTCGTGGGAATGTTCTCCCACGAAGAAAGAACAGGAATACGGCAAACACCATATTCCTGTTCATTTCAAGCCTGGTAACACACTAAGGCAGAAGCTAGTCCATCCCAAGGACAAAACACCGAGACATAAACAGAGTAATGTGGTGTATGCTGTCCAGTGCTGCGAGGAATGCTCAGACCTGTACATTGGGGAAACTAAACAACCGCTTCACAAGTGCGTGGCTCAACACAGGAGAGCTGCTTGCTCAGGTCAGGACTCAGCTGTTCACCTTCACTTGAAGGACACGGGTCACTCTTTCGAGGACAGCAATGTACAGGTGTTGGCTCGGGAAGACAGATGGTTTGAAAGAGGAGTTAAAGAAGCCATCTTTACCAGACTGGAGAAACCTTCTCTGAACAGAGGGGGTGGACTCAGGCACAATCTCTCTGGCACTTACAATGCAGTTCTCAGCTCTCTCCCCAGGAAACTCCACAAACATTTACACCTGGGACCACATGACTCAGGTGGCATGAATCACGTGGTCACATGACAACCCTCAGGGGGGAACCTCTGGAGATGGGTTTCTACGACCCATTCTTTCCAACTCCTCCCAGCCGTTGTCTGTCCCCTTCTACAGTAAGATGAATATCTGCTCCTCACACTAGCAATAATTAGAACTGAAGAAGCTTCTTGGATAAGAGGCGAAACGTCTTCTTAACTCTACACAGTCCAGTTGCCTGTTTTTAAGTCTTCAAGAAAACCTGAATCAATGAGAATCTGCATGGACATGCTTAATATATTGTGATATTGATTTGAGGCCACATTGCCCAGCCCTAAAAAGAAGCACAAAAACTTTTAACATTTAAGGATCATGATTCTCAAATGAAATTCCTTTTCATTCGGTTGCCTGAAAATAAGAGTATCTTATATTTATATACTGAGTTAATAAACTGTATAGACCAACAAAAATGAGATAGAGCCGTCTTTCATTCTCAGTCTTTATTACCAAAAATACAGTGGCAAAGTGGTGACATAACAAAGTCTATGATGATTTGAAAATAAATAAACATAAAGCAAGCGTCACACTCCTGTCTGAAACTGTTCCATGTTCAACCTTAGATACAAAAATGAGCAGAAACACACACTGATGAGGACAGCTGTGTTATGATTCTCCACCTACTTTGGTTTCAAGACCGCAGTTCAGTCAGGTGTGTTTAGCTTCACACTGTCAGTTCCCTTTAAAACACTGGGAGCATGTAAGAACAGAGCTGCAACTCAAAACTAGATTTTTTTGTCCTTTTTTTTAAATTACAAGGTTATTAAAAATAGATTATATCATTTAAAAAAGTCAGTTTTTAAGTTTTGCAGTATTCCCCCTGCAGTATGTACACACTTTAAATACAGTACCTAAAATCTGAACGGATTAACAGGTGAGTTTCACATTCAGATTTCGCTGTTGTTTCTGCCCCGTGCACAGCAACTGAAATGTAGATTTACCTCGAGTATCTGGGAAACATTCTGATTGGATCACATCCTAACACAACGCTGACATTTAAGTCTGAAATTTTTGCCTCTACTTGAAGACAAATGACTGAGAAATATGGACCCTGATGACACCATGTAGGTGGATGCTTGACCAAAGATTTGGCAAACAGGTTGAAATTTGAATAACCATGAACCTAAAGGCACAAACTTAACCATGACACAATTCTCAGATTCTAATATGGCACATACACTAAACTCTGCAGAAGTATAGTTTACATGGGAAATGGCACTGGACTGGGACACTTGCTTTCAAACCTGCACTGTTGACACTTTCTGTGATGCTTAATTAGATGATTTTACTTTAACCAAGATGCAACCTTTCAGCTCACACATGACAAAAATATCGATTTGGATCAAGGATTGGTCCTGGTGCAGCTGACTGACAGCACTTGGTTTTTTGGTTTAATATAAAACAAGACTACTTTTGCAGTTTCAAACAACTCTTATTTCCATCAAGTATGCAGTTCTTGATTGAAATAATCCCTTGCTAACCCCTCCTGTCAGTCAGGAGACGGTGGCCTTTAAGGACAAGAAGCTTCGTGATCTATTTGTCCAAATTTTTCCATCAAAAGCATCTATCAGTACGTATTCTTTCTGCACATCAGCCAGTCTATGTTCTGCATCGTCCCTCTTCCTTTGCAGCCTCTCACACAGAGATAACAGACTGATGATTATATTCTAAATTTACCAAGTTTGTTTTGACAAATGCTGCTGAATACTGCAAACTGTACCTTGAAGTTTAAACCTGGATGATATTTTTGTAGTTCTATCATTTTTTTTTTCAGAGTTGATAAAAGTGTGCCAAACAGATGTTGTATAATGTCGATATCCACTCTGAATAATTCAGTCAAATCCTGTTTTGTTTTGCACTGTTTTATCTTGTTCTTCTGGGCTTTCAAAGTCTATTTAAAACATGAACATGAGCAACACTGCTGCTTTCAATGACAGTCCACATTTTAAAGCACTGTGCTCTATTTTGAGTCTGTGTCACATGCAGTGAACTGAAACACTCATTAAAGCTCCACGTGTCATCACTCACAGCTGAATGTAGCCCCAGCCAAATTTATACTTCTGACTTTTTCCAAGAGAACTTGTATTAAAACTCTTTTAAAAATGAAACTACAGGTTACTGACAGGTTTTTTATTTTTATCATGTTTTAAGTTTTGAATATTGAGCTTGGAGCGAAGGCTGCGCACAGGTGTCAGATGCTGCAGAGGGGAAGGTGTCAGGAGAGCAGCTGGAGGAAACAGCTCTGTTCCAACAAATATTCACAATACATGATTTATTTGACTGCCAAAAGTCAGCAGTATGAACTTCAGTCCTAAGACACAACTTGTGCATACAGGGGACAAAGAAGCAGACTGCTTTGTCCACAGGGAGCGCCACTGAGAGAAACCAAAAATTCCTCACAGGAGCTTTAATTAATGATCACTAAAATATTGAGGAATTAAAAGTGAAAAGTTTTGCTAGATGATTAACTTTTCCACAATTCAAAGAAATCAACAGTAGGCACATCTTAAACTGTGGTATTATCACCGCTGTAGCCTGGTTTAAGCCTGAGAGACTGGCTGTGAACCGATGAACAGTTTAAGCCTTAATAAATAAACCTGAACCTCAGAAACAGTCTGACTGCATATATTCTGAGCTTCTGTTATTTTTCTGTGCTTACAACATCTGCAGTGAACCACACTGATTGTTATGTACGGTTATGTTTCACATAACACACTCAAAACAAACAAAATCAGGAAACACTCAACTCAATACCACTTCCAGAAGTCATGAGGCCCACTGGGGACGCTAACAGGAATTCAGTTTGGTAGCTGAATAATTAGGAGCTGTCAGATTATCAGCAGATCCTCCTCTGACCTCAGAGGACTCTCTGTGTGGTAAATCAATCTATTCTCACAGCTCATTCATATGCATACTGTTCGACACACAGGAGGCCACTGAAGTCTCACTTTTATTCATTTCTCTTTTTAACTCGCACATGTTGCCACCTCTCTTCACTCCGACTCGGAGAAATGTAATTCAAAAGGCAGATGATAATTACCGGCTTTGATAATGAGAATACCCGGTCAGGTTACAATTCTTTGAGATGGATATTTAATTTTGTTTTATCCACAGCTCTTCACGAAGGTGCAGACACAATTTCAAGCTGTGATGTCAGGCACTGGGAGGGGGGCATGAATTATGGATATCCCATTTTATCTTAATTTCTACAGCATCTGTCTGTCTGTCTGTGCGGGTGTAAGAAAGGGAAGGCATACTGATGAACTGAGTATGCTCTGCATGACAAGACTACATGAATAACAGACAGTGGGGGTTTAGTTAGACCCACTCCGATGAAAATCATGTTTTTCTTGTTGACGACATGTTCATATGGAATTTTCCTGATACTACAGGACATATAGTGAGAAAAGCAAGAACAAAATTGCATTTCTGCATTCAAATCGCTGTGAAACTCTGGCAGACCCCCACAGCAGCTTCAGACACAGAGAGATTTCCTATGTCACAACTCCAAGCTCCGCCCCCACCGCCTCACTCTGCAGGCCAGACTCAGAGAAGTAGAGAGGACGACTGCGGAACAAGCGTGTGCGGTAGCAGACTGCAATGCTCATAAGAAAGCTAATTATGATATTAGTCACCAAAGACGCAAGTGTCCGAAAGCTGAATAGCTTCCATGTTACCTGCTACTTCTATTATACCGGCAATGTTTGGCTGAAAGCTAACGTGAAGAGGAGTCTGCAAAGCAGCGCTGTCTCTGCCCAAGACTCAGAGGCGAATTGCTAATGAGCTGCTGGAGCTCTGCAGAAGAAAAGTCCTTAAAAATAATAATACTCACAATTTAACAACCACTAAGAACACTTTAAATAATGAAAAAAAATATATAATCGGAGTGGGACTTTAAACCTCAGCTTCAGTCACTTTAATTTTCCGATTGGACTTTTTTAACATGATCTCGTGGAGCACAGACTGCAGCAGAAACACCAACATGTACTCGGAAAGCCTTCTGGTGGTTGACATAAAGCATGGGTAGACTTTTTAAAGCCTCAACTCCAAGAAAGTTGAGACATAGAGTAAAACAGTAAAAACTGAATTTGGTGGTTTGTAAATTATTTGCAGCATTAATTCAACTGAAAATCAAGCCAAGAGTCATAAACCATCAAAATTTGGCAGATGTTGTCATTGTAGTATTGCTGGTGAATTACAATGTTTTGAAAATTGCTTATTTCTGTTTTACACAGCTTCCTAATTCTATGGAAATGGGGTTGTCCATTATGTCCTGGATAAACAGCACTTGTTGTTCCCTAAATGAATTTTTGGTGAGTAAATAATATTGGGGCCAAAAGAACTGTTTGAAACTTTAAGATGAAATTTGTATCTTTTTATATGTAAAATATCCTCTGAACCTTCCAATTCTCCATGTCAGTCTTTGTAGTACATGTCTGCCTCCATTGAGTCACAGAAGCAGAGTTAACACCAGTGAGCCTCAGAAATCAGTCGCCTTTAAAGCTTATCTTACAACCATATTTCCTTCTTTTCAAGCCCGTGTGTGTTAGCTCAGACAGTCGTCATTTCAAGTCTCAGTTGACAATAGAAATGTTGTACTTTAAAAACACTGAAAAAGTACAGTTAAGGTTATAAAAATTATTATATACACAACATAAACTGCACGGGCTATAAAAACAATCTTTTCCTTAAGTGACAACTCTTGAAGTGAGCGTAGCACCACAATCACAGGTGAGAGCAGGTGTGTTTGAGTCGACACAACACGCCCGCTTTCAAAGATCAAGACAAAAGACAGTCCATATATCTGTGCCAACTTCCCTTTGTATCATTCCTTAAGTCGACATGCTTTGAACCGACACCTCTGTCTCAGGTAGATTACAATCAGCTCACATGAAGTCCTGTTTCTACTTCACTCTGATCACCTTTCACTCTTTCTGCACAATCTTCCTCCAAACATGCTACTTTATCAATGATCCAAAAGTAAAAAAAAATAAACTAAAATAAAATAAAAAATACAGTCAGTCATATGGAGAGAAAAAGCAAACATCTACTGAACACTTGCCTACTTAAATTGGCACAACGGAAACTAACATGCATAATAATAACAGACTGATAAATATTCAATCCTGTATCAAGCTGTGATGCATGTCTTAAGGTACATGTACCTCCCTCACCAGGCTAGAGCCTTGACTGTGTCCGATTAAATATATTAAATATTACAGTAGCTATAAAAGAGCTGCCTCGCCATCAATACTTGAATTAGGCTGGAAAATATGTCTGACTTTTTTTTCCATTTCTGCTGAGGGGTTGCGTGGTTTTATGAGGTATGAATCAGTCCCTGTCTAGAGAAAAATCTAACTTGGTTTGGAGCTCGACCTCGTCCCTTATACACAGACACATTTTGTGCCTTTTAAATGTCAAATTATTTGACACTAAGCTTAAACGCAGATAAAACTTTTTTAATTTTATTTTTACTGTTACTTTTGAAGGATATGCTACCCAGAAAAACCTTTCATCATTTTTCTCATTCCCAGCTCAAGGTATCCCTCAGACCTCACCACAGCACTCATGAGGGGTAACTTTAGCAGCACAGTGGACATGAAATGGTTAGACCTTCTTGTCCACCACAGCCACCTCCAGTTCAATGATGAAATTCTGTGTGCAGCAGATCTGTGACCGCGCGGGGTTAGTGTTCGTATGAAGAGCGGGTTGGAGCAGCTCTCACTCTGCTGTTTGCAGGCCTGTCTGGGTGCTGGGTTGCTGCTGCTCCTTGTTGAGGATGATGCTGATGATGTCCCCCTCATGCTCTTTCATGTGCTCCATCAGACGCTCTTTACTGGTGGACTCGAAGCCGCAGATGCAGCAGCAGAACAGGAGCACACAGTATTCCATTCCTGGGCCAGGGGCAGGGGTCTGGCCTGCACGTGGCTGACTCTGGGACTTACTCTGAAGCTGTGCAGGGTCCTTCCCTGGGGGGTCTCCAGGCCACTGTGAGGGGTCTGTGATTTGGGCTGGAAGGCTGGCTGAGCTGTCTGCAGCCAGGCTGACTGCTGCTGTCGACGTGGGTGTTGGTAAGGTTTCCACTGGGCCCTTTATTTTGTCCTTTGAAGGCGGGACCACTGCAGGGCACTCCGCTGACTCCAGCACCGCTGACAGCTTCTGAGGAGCTCTGCGGGAAGTAAAAGTAGAGAGGGTACAGAAAAATCAAGTGACTGGGTTTCAAATCTCACTTTTTGGTAGGGATGCTGTAACCAAGACATGAGGGTACTATTTAAGACCTAAATATATGTACTCCATTACACTCCTAAGATGCCTCCAAAAACAGACATACAACATCGAACTACAGGCTGAAATTTGAACAAGTCATTCAGTCTTTTCAAACTTTTATGTAATGTCCTTTAGACGTGGGCGTGTATTTCATTAGATCAACAACGTCTCTCACTCTTTAGTTTGGCAGCTGTTAGCTCACTAGCACGCACATGATTTCTCAAGCCTCTTTCCTGTTTGGGTCATTCTGTCACTTAGCTTTTCAGACACACAAATACAAACACCTGCCTCCTCCTCCTCTACCTGATATCATCCTCCTGCTCCTCTCCCTGCTCTCCTCTCTCCACCTAGTCTCTTCACTCCTTGTCTACTCCTGGCTCTCCTCCTGCTCCTCTTTCTAGTCTATTTTCTCCTTTTTTTGCTCCTCTCCCTGCTCTCCTAACTCCTGCTGCTCCTCTGCCAGCTCTCTCCCTGTTCTCCTCTCCTCCTCCTGCTCCTCTTCCTAGTCTTGTCTCCTCCTCCTGCTCCTCTCTCTGCTCTCCTCTCTCCTCCTCCCCCTCTTCTCCTCCTGCTCCTCTTCTTGTTCTCCTCTCTTCCCCTCCTGCTCCTTTCCCAAGTCTCTTTTCTCCTCTTTCTGCTCCTCTCCCTGCCACCTCCTCCTGCTCCTCCCCCTGCTCTCCTCTCTTCCCTGTATTCTCTCTCCTCCTCCTCCTCCTGCTCCTCCCCCTGCTCTCCTCTCCTCTCTTCCCTGTATTCTCTCTCCTCCCCCTGCTCTCCTCTCTTCCTAGTATTCTCTCTCTCATTCTCCTGCTCTCTCTCTCCTATTCCTGCTCCTCTCCCTGCTTTCCTCTCTTCTCCTCCCAGACAGTTGCACATCGTGTTCAAGATGCCACGGTTTACCATTACTGTTAGCAGGAGCTTTATCTTCCTGGTGTTCTCAAACTTGGTTTCTTACTGATCTGAGCTACCTTTGATATAGTTTAAATGAGAGCTGTTTGAGGAGAGGGGCCACACCCACACTCTGTGTTAAGGAAGAGAGGGAAGGTGAGCTTTATATAATGTATAGGACATAACAGAGGCGACACAGCAAGTAACACAATAATGGTTTAAGTTCAATCATCATATTTTATCATCATGGGAAGTCACAATGGTAATCAAAATTCAAGTCCAGTTATCACTAAGCTGTTCCCAGTATAGGTAACTTCATGACTGTTGCATGTGTAACACTGTCAAAAGAATTCATGAACATTTGGATAAATTTAGGATTTCTTTATAAGCGTCTGCTTAGAGTCAGGCACTGACATGGAATGATTTCTTTAAAGCTGCACTGTGCAGGATTCCAATGGTGTCCCACAGTTTGGGCTCTGACTGTGAGAAACATGACATTATTATTTCAAAAGGTTGCACAATGCAGCTCGGGGAGTCTTTGCAGTCACTCCATGTCATAAAGCGACTGACTACATGGTAAAAATTTGCAAACAGAAATGAAACCAGAAACAAACTCAGAGAAAAGACACATGCACGTTGTTATCTGAATGCCTACCTGCTGCTCTGGGAAATGGCCTCGTTGATGGCTTTGTTAACCTGCTCGTAGTTGTAGTTCTGGTCTCCTGCATGTTTCCACATGTGGGATTTAAGCGACGGGGGATGACTGCACACATAGCCGCATAGAGAGCACCTGAAAGAGAGAAACAAAAGGTAAGGAGGATGAGCAGTAGAGCAAGAGCGGATCAAGTCAAGGCTGATTTAATATGCATACTGAGGTTTTACTAATCCTTCTCATACTTTCTATCAAGAGGAATCATCCTGACTTAAAGCTCCACTGAGGACACTGAGCTCCGGAGACAGAGGGTGGAGAGAGGAGAGGATTTACAGCATGACGAAAAGAATTATAGGTTCTGTCATTATGAACTCTTCAAATGCTCAAAGTTTCAAGAGTCCGTTGGGATAAGAAACTGAGGCGAGCGTCTCCTTTAGCAGCTGGCTGTAGTGAGAGCAGAGCAAGCATAAAACAACCTGTTTTATTGTACAGAGATAGAGACACCGCAGTTTCACCTTTGTCTCTCTGTTTCATCAGGCTTTGTGGATTGGACGGGAAACTCAATATGACTCTGATCAAAGTTGAGGGAAAGTTTTCTTGGACTCTGTCTTTATTTTCTTTGTATTTCACATGCTCTCTGGCCAGTCAAGACCTGTCAACATGAAAAACTGCACTACTGTCCACAGGGGGGGGCTACACAATAAAACCACCAACACAATAAGAAGTTCTTCACAACCGTTGAATATTTTTGGGTCCTCAGTATCAGTGCAGAGTGTGTGCTGTTCCTCCAACAATCAGAAGTGCAGTGCTTAAAGGGATATTCCGGAGTAAATTTAAGTTATGGTCAAACAAACTGTAACACCAAGCAAGACACCCCCTTGAGAGATGAATGTTGCCAACCGCTTGCTTCTCTAGTTATACCAACTTTAGTAACGACCGCACGATAGCAATACACAGCGGCCTACCTCTCCACACGCAAACCTCAACCAAAAAGCCACTCTATAACCACAAATAATGCTCAGAACAGCACCTAACTTCATCAACAGTACATATAGGGTACTATCCACCAAAATCATTTTTAGCTTTGCCTGATTTCTTTAGCAAAGAGACTAAACACAACTCACCCACTCTCTTACAGCAGCCGCTTGGTTTTGGGGGAGCCCTGACAAGTAGATCACCGAATGCAGCGGAGTTTCGCAGCTCAAAACGGAACATTTATGATTATTACTTCATGGAAATGCAATCAGACCGAGACGCTAAGGCAGAAGAACTTCTGCGTCTGCAGTGCAAAATTATTATTATGGTGATTATTACTACATGAAAATGATCCGCTGTACTCGTCAGGGCTCCCCCACAAACACATTTCTTTTTGCTAAAGAAACCAGGCAACCAAATTTCCATGTGAAAAAGGTTTCTCAGATACAAATGTCCCTTTATATTATACTCAGAGAACAATTCCATGGTATATGTTTATGTTTGCAAGCTCCATGACAATTCGTTTACAAAGGGATCACTGAAAACATGCTGCAAATTACTGATAAGCCATTTCATCTTGATATTTTATGATGGCCACTCTACAGCTGATGGGGCCTGACACTCTGGTCACAGTGACTAAGCAAATCATAGGTATGTAAGGTACAATTTCAGTATCAATAATATAATATCTTAGAAAACATGATTTTTATTGTTAGCATCATCAGCTGCATTTCTTGTATTTAGCAAAAAATATCTTTTGAACTAAAGGTCCTCATGCACTTCGACACTTCAGACAAATGTTTATTTCACACTGCAAAACGTCAAAGAGAGAGCATAACAAAGTGCACTCAGCTAAGCGTGGAGGGCTGAGACAGCAGCTTTATTCCTTTGTAAAACCAGATAAACAGAACTTCATCTGTGGAAAAATGTCTCTGATGCCTCAATATTAAATCAAGCTAGCATTCTGCTTCATGAAAGTGCGGGGCTGAATAACTTGAGTGCCCCTTAAACTGTCTGAGCCGATGCTTCTGTGAGAAAATGTGTGCACTCGAGCCTCGCAGGTACTGATGACTGTATAATGCAGCCTGAGAATTCAGTGGAGTGGAAATCAGCAATCAGAGCCCAGCTCAGGGTTCACGATGTTTAACATGTAAAGGAGGGCAGAAATTCATCCTCATTCACTCTCTCCACCCACCATCCACTAGCATCACAATCAGAAAACCACTTTTCAAGTCAGCAGGCTGCTGGCACCATCAGAGGGCACAGATCTCGTCAGATGAACATGGACTGAGATAACCCTGGCCTCTTTTGGACAGGTTTGGTCCTGCATTCTCACCTCAGAGGTCCAGCTCTCAGCCTTATCAGCCCTCTCTGTGGTGGACGTCTGTTTGATCTCTCTCACCTGTATTGCTCCAGCAGCTGCACAGCCTGGTGCTCCTGAGGGTGTCTCCTCATGTGACTCTTCAAACTGTTCATGTTGGTGGTGGCAAAATCGCAGCTACAGCACCTGGCAGACAGAAAAAAGAAAGGCACGTAAGATGAGAGGAACATGGAGATTGAGCGGCCACTTTAACAAGCTGCCTCTCCAGCTTCTGTAGCTTCTTTGCCCTTGTAGCCTGGAGGGAGAAAAGGGATTTACTGCAAAACAGAGGAAATTGCCACTTTAAGAAAACAAATAAATAAAACAGTTTTCTGTTTTCTACTTTGTTGCACTGTGGGTGTTGTGGTTGGAAGATGAAACCAGCTGTGTAGTTGTTTCGAGGCTGACACTGTTCAAGGTCTGCAGACAGAGGCTACACTTGACTTGCAGCCATTTACTCCGCATTAAAATACAGTTGAAAACAAAACAAAGCCTTGCAGTTTACACTTTGATATTCTAGCACCAGCAAACTTCACAAAGACACTTTTAACTTACTACAAGCGAAAAAAAACAACTTTTTTCAATAGAAGGGTATTGTCTCAACTCATTTATTTAGACATAAGAAATCAGGTTTCACTTGAAATATATAAAGCACAGCTATGTAGTTTTATTGTAATTCACTCTTTATATAATTTTTTATGAACTTTGTCATCTTTCTACTTTGAATATTTCAACTCTGATTTCACCATTTCTCTGTAAACCTTGGTGAACCCAGCAGACCGGTTTCTAGAGTCTGGAAGTCAAATGTTGTCCCATTCCTGCTTGATAGAGGATTTCAGCTGCTCAACAGTTCAGGGTCTCCTTTGTTCTGTTTTTGGTGTCATGATGCTCCAAATGATTTCAATGGGGGACAAGTCAGGACTGCAGGTAGACCAGTTTCTCAGCGGGACTCTTCTACTACAGAGCCATGCTGTTGTAATCCCTGTTGTCAGAATGTGGTTTGTCATTGTCTTGCTGAAATATGGTCTTTTCTGATAAAGTCTTTGTCTGGATGTCAGCAGATGTTGCTCCTAAACCTGTAGATATTGTTCAGCTGGATGGAGACTTCACAGATGTGGGAGATTCCCATGACATGGACTCTGATAATCCCCGTACCATCAGGGATACTGGCTTTGCGCTGGGAGCTGAGAACAAGCTGAGTGGGCCCTCTACTCGTGAGAGGAGGACATAGTGTCCATGGTTTCCTAGAAGAATCGCTGATTTTGATTAATCAGACCACAGGACAGTTTTTCTCTTACCCTCTGTCCACCTTAAATGAACTCAGGCCCAGAGAAGTCTCTTGTGTTTCTGGATCATGTTTCTATCTGGTTTCCTCTTAGCATGGTTCAGTTTGAACCCCATTTATGGATGCAGTGATGAACTGTGGTTTTTAAATGATTGATTTTGAGCCCATGCAGTGATTCCCACTCCAGAGTCCTGTCTGTTTTTAGTGCAGTGTTGTCTGAGGGCCTGAAGTTTAGGACCATCCAGTCTTGGTTTTGGTCCTTGTCCCTTTAGTCCAGAGATTTCTCCAGATTCTCTGAATCTTTAAATGATATGATGTACTGTAGATGATGAAATCCACTCATTCTTTCACATTTCACACTCAAATGTGATTTTATATCTGATGTGTTGTCTCAACACTTTCATATTTATTATAAAGTTGAGCTCATTTATAAACTAGCAAAATGTGTTTCTAACATTTTCCACAGCATACCAGCCTTTTCTTTTTTGAATAAGGATTCTAATTGGTGTTTGTTTTTATGTAGCCTGTGGCTTAAGGAGTAAAAGCTGGAAAATAAGGTGGCCTTGCCAGAGGGAAACTGTAGCAACCTTAAATATACTGAATGCCAGCTCTGGACACCAGGAGAGGATTATATCTGAACACAAATTCAGTGTATTTGGCAATATTATGGTTAAAAATGACTGAGATACACTTTACATACTAATGTAGAGTGGTGAGACTTGTTGTTGTTGTATTTCATTGTAAACACTTCCAAGTGCAAAGCAGCCACTTTTCAGGCCAGGAGAAGATGCCAGAAAACCATCAGAGGCTCTGGAAAGTCAGCAAAGAAATAGACTGCCAGGCTGTTACGACTGCTGACTATAGGACACTTAGTTAATATCCATGCAACAGTTTGGCTCAAAATGACCCAAAACCATATTAACACCTACAATTATAAAAGGCCATAGTCTGAAATTGGATGGGAAACAAGTACTGGAATATGAACAAGGGAAACCTGGACAATATCTAGCACTCATTTACAATCATGACCTTTGCTCCTACAGACAATGAAAAACAAATATAAGGAATTAATTTCAATATTTTAGTGACCACAAATCCAAGCAATTACTTTTTAAACCAACATAGATATTTGGTAGCTTAACTACCATAGAAATGTGGATTTATAATGTTCTACCTGTCTAAAGTCACTGAGCTTTCAAACTGTCCTTGTTATGGGTGCAACTATCAGTGCCCTCAGGCCACAATCAACTTTTATGAGTTTCATGCATATATTTTCTTCTTTTCAATACACAAAATAGGCACAATTAATCACTCCCAAAGCATACTTTACACGAACAGTCACCAGGTAGCAGTGAAAGACTACAGGGGAAGCTTTGCAGTAAATCCTATTACAGAGTGCAGGAGACGGTTGTTGAAGCTTGCAAAGAAGTTTGTGTGTGGAGTCATGGAGGGAGTGACCAACAGATGCAGAAAGAAAACGAAGTGAAAAAGGCTAAAAAAAGTGACATCTGAGTGAGATCTCTGCAGAAAAAGCAGAGTCAATGCAGCTTAAGAGATCTTTACAAGACAAGCTGAGAGTTTAAGAGCTCGGACAAAATCAAAAGTTTGATTTGGTCACTTTCAAGATGGTTGTTTACTCAGAAGGCTTGGCTCATAATATATATGGATGCTAATGCTTTATTATTATTCAGCTCCCTCCTTTTTTTCCCAAACATCAATACAATACACAAACTTTATTGATCCCCAAAGTAAAATTTGTTGGTCTGAAATCTCATCTCCTCCACTATGTAAAGAGGAATTAAACAGTCTGATGGCTGTGGGTACAAAAAGAGCTTCTGAAACTGAATCTCTCCATCCAGAGAGAGGAGCCGTCCACCACCATTGGCCCTTTGGTCCATCAAGGTGTTGTTAAGTAGATGATCCATGTTCTTTAGAATAGCCTCTACCTTCCTTAGTGTGTATGTCTCAAACACATCCTCCAGTGAGTCCGACTTGATTCTAATCAGATTAAACTTAAATCTAAACACAGAACCTCAAAACATGCCTTAAGGTGGGATGTATCCAAGTATTTGTACAGTATGATTGAACTTCCTTGTAACATAATTTGAGCGAAGAGCAACTGTTCAATATCTGTTCAACACAACTTCTCCTTGAAAGTTATGTGTGAAGGGTTACACCATCTCTGGTTAACAAATAAACAAGACTCCCTCCTGTCTTCTTGCCATTCGCTTGAGCATCATTGTCTGATCTTATGAGAGTGAAGCCAGGTAGATCCACACTGGAGCCTGAGTTGTTTTGATTCAACCAGGTTTCAGTAAAACACAGGAGACTGCACTCACGGTATGCTTTCTCAGTCTTAAGCAATATCTTCAGCTCATTGCTTTGGTTGGGCAGAGAGTTGATGTTTCCCATGATGACCAATAGAAGACAAGGTTTATATCTTCATTTCCAAGCCTTTGAGTTTGCCACTGGCACGGCAACCATGAAAAACACTACCAGACGTCCACTTGAGGCAATGGACTTCTGGCTCTATCTCAATGAAAGAAGTTTTCTCCTGAACCAACTCTTCCCCGAGTAAAAAATATCCATCAACAGTTTACAGAACACACATGAAAAAAAGAGCAAGAAATTGCAGAAAATTCGGAGAAACCAGGCTTTGCCGCTACGGGGTTGAGCACAGGTTCTGTTCAGGATCATGTTATCTGCCACAGATTCAGTCAGGCATAACTGATTTAAAGCATTTCTTGGGAAAAAAAAAAGCTAAGGGGTTTGAGAAACTGTGTCAATATCTCCACAACACATAATGAGATGTTTCCACAACACAAACACACTGAGGCAAGCAGTTAAGAGCAGGGAGCTGCTAGACTCAGCACTAAGGGAACAATGCTATAATCTTGCCCCTTCACTTGAGACAGGAATTCCCAAACTGGGGTGCAGGGAAAATAAATGTTGCACAGTTAACATATTTACAATATTTTGCACAGCCAACCCCTGGGAAAGGACTGCCAGGTAAATTAAACGAAAAGCTGGCCATGAATGTGGAATAAACATCCCAACTAAAACTACAAGAGGGTGAGAAATTCAGAGAATTCATATCCTGCCCTCTGCTTCAACTCCATCAAGAGTAGGCTGCCCACAAGTTAGAAAGTCAGTGTGTTTTGAATCAGATTTCAAGGTTGCAAATTCAGAAAAAAATGCTAAGATGTTTTGATTAAATATCAAGTACGCAGAAATGTTTTAGCAAAGGATGTGTGTGATAGTGTCTGAGTAGTGAGGGGTAGGGGGCTTCACCAATCAAAGAGGGAGTCCTGCAGAAAACCAATGGACCAAAGGAAAATGTGTGGACATGGGGTGGACAGACTGCATGACCCTAGAGAAAAGCCACCTACCTCTGCTGCTTCACTTTTATGGCAACAGTTATTTTGATCTGATGAGGGGAAAAAGCACTAAAAGTGGTGCTCCCAGCTCAGTCAGCTCATGTTGCTAAATATTAATGCCTTGTGCAGTGTGAATCAAAGACTTGAAATACAAAAGTGGGGCTACATTGTGGGCTGTGTGTTTGTGCCCTATTATCTACTGTGTTTTCAAGGTGAGCAGATTCAGCTAGAAAATGTTTGGAAAATTTAAGCATGCCAGTTCTTGTGTGGAGGCACTTATATCTTTAAGCCGACTTGAATATAAAGATAAAAAATAAGAGACATCATAACCTCTCCTACCTGAATACCTCAAACAAAGCTTCATGATAATTACCATCTGTGAGTTTTTTAAGTATGTTTGTTTTATAAACTAAGTAAATAAAGTTTTCTGACTTTCCACAGAAGTTAGTCCAACAGCAGAGAAAACCCAAACTTAAACACAAGCGCTTTCACAGACATGTTTTGCATTCTGCTAATGAAGAGAAATGCATATAAATTAAGCTGAAGTCCCTGTACATATTTCTGATGGGCAGTTCTGTAACCAACTACTCAGCCGTAACAGATGGACAAATATCAGCATTCGTCAAGTCTACTGTCTAATTCTGTCCTAATGATATAAGTTAATGATATAAGATATAAGAGAAAACGGGTGTAGCTATAAAATGCCAGTTGGGGCCTTTTACTCTAATTCCACTAATTAGACACCGTGATGTCTTACTAAGTACTGCATGGATGTTTGATGTAGCCGTTTACCTCTCCCAGCTGCTGCTGCTCACCAGTATACTGTTCATTGTTTTGGCTGTACAAAGCAGATGTGGTATCAAAACAATGACCATGAGCGTGAATTGCTAACTCTTAGCTTTAATTTGAAAGTGCTAACAACTAGACTGGCTGCAAAACAGTGTAGAGCATTATCCGGTCATTATCCTTCTGTACCTCATGTAAAGGAAACAGTCAGTGTTTTATCCTTAGCAGCCTTGTTTGGTCCTCAAAATGTTCATAGATCAAACTGTCCTGACAGAATTTGAATATCACTGTGTGGGTTTCTTTTTTTTTGTCTCTATTAATGCTTTTTAATGTGTTATGTAACAGGATAAACGTGCCTCCACATTCAATTTTAAGAGCTGCACACTTTATGTTCAAATGTGCTTTATTTGGAGCTGTGTATCTTATTTTCCCTTTAACCCAGACAGAACTGTCCATGGGAATAATGAGTCTACTCTCCTTTACAGGGTCAACTCAATAACATAGAGGAAAGAGAAGAGTTTTTTTTTTCTTTTTTTTCATAAATCAGCTTTAAAAGTTAATCTGTATTTCAGTCATTTATTTCTGACATGTAAAAGGAAGTAGCTGACACCTTGTTTGTTTTAATTTGGATGATTTTGGCTTCTATCTCATGAAGATAAGAGATCTGGCGTCTCAAATTATGAACTCATGTATCAATGTGACACAGTGTAGATCTGCCTGTCGTGTTCCTGGGATGTTACTGAAGTCCAGGTTGCGTTGACAGCTCCTTCAGCTGCTCTGTATTGTGGGTCAGCAGTTTCTCATCTTCCTCTTAATAAACATTCCACAGACCCTCTCTAGGTTTCAATTCAGGTCAGCTGTCTGTATGATCAAGAACAGTAACATTATAAATCAGTTAACCAGTTTCTGGTAGTTTTGGTCCCGTGGGCAGGTGCAGGTCCTGCTGGAAAAGTGAATCTTTATCTCCGTAGAGCTTCTCAGCAGATGGAAGCATGATGGTCTCTTAACATCTCCTGGTAAACTTTAGGCTGTGTTGACTCTGGACTTGATTAAACTCAATAACAGCAAATGACACTGCACCCCAAATCCTCAGAGACCGTAAACTTCATACTGGTTTTCAAGCATCGTAGATTCTGGGCCTCTCTGATCTTCCTCCAGACTCTGGAACCTTGATTTTTCAACAAAATGTACAATGGACTTTCTTTGAAAACTGGACACTGGTCCATGGTCTTCTTAGTCCAGGGTAGACAGGTGTGATGTGGTCTCTGGTTGAGGAAGTGTCTCGATATCACATTTGTGATCACGAATGTGGCACTTGTGGTCCATCTACTGGACTCCTTTGTGCGTAGTTGTTCTTGATGCTCTGACCCCAGCCTCAGTTCTTGTGAAGCTCCTCTAAGTTCTTGGATTTGATGATCCTCTCCAGGCTCCTCCCCATCCCTGTTTCTTGGTCCTCTTTTTCTTCTTCACTTTTCCCTTTCAGTCAACTTTTCATGAATCTGCTTCATACAGACTTTGTGAACAGACAGACTTTCCAGCAGTGACCTCCTGTGGCTGACCCTCCTTGTGGAGGGTGTCAGTGATCATATTCTGGACAAGCTGCTGTCAGGTTAGCAGTCTGCACCAGGATTGCTGTGGTGGAGTGTTCGGCATAAAATGCTTCAAAATTTGGAATTATGTATTTTTATCATTCCTGAGTTGTAGGCTTAAAGTAGAAAAATGGTTATGATACTTTTTTTTTTAATTAGTCTTAATAAGTCCTTAATATAAAGCATTTTTACTTTCTCAAAATACTGAGGTAAGTATTTAACTTTTCCAGTCACATTTTTTGAGATGCCCTAGTACATTCAGTTTATTCTGGCTGATTTATTTATATCTATCCATTTCTTAAATGTATTTTTGCCCTCACACAATACTGAAAGCTAACAGGATGGCTGTCCACTGGTGAGAAAAAACAGCAATTATATGCAACTCAACCTTTTCCAGAGCAGAAAAGACTATTATGGGTGTATGACTGTGAGTGAGTGTGTTTGTGTATTTTTGTACATCTGAACCTCAGCACAGGCGACAGCACACTGTTAAGAAAGCTGACATTAACATCCGTATGCCTTCACACCTCATAGCAGCTCTGTGGTATCACAAAGACTGAGTGTAAATACAGAGTTGAGGAGAGAAACAGTGAATAAGTGTGACTGTGTCTGCTCTTTGAGAAATCTGCACCGGTCAAGATTTTTACAGGTCTACATTGCCATCTAGTGCATGCTTTAGAAATGACAACTGCAGCTAATGCCCACTTTGAACAGCAGGGTTTATTGACAGGCAATACATTTGCAAGCTTGCCCTGCATGGAACAGGGCTGCCCAGTGAAAATGCAATGCTTGAAGCTCTCAAGTCAAGTTTGAGTTTATTTATGCAATTACAATCAACCTTATTTGGAGAAAAAAAAGATTCCTGAGAGCTCATCCTGTAAAGCTGATCGACGTTGACCAATAAAAACAATTTGCATTAATCATTAAACTGTTTGAAAATTGTATTAAGTTATCGATGGATGTAGCTGCTACTGACAGATTCAACATTGGAACACATGCACGTCTTTTGATGCAACACTAACATGGACTAATGGAAGAACAATACAACACACAAATGTACTGAACAAAAATTCCAATATCAAGTGACCAGCCGTGTATACTCTGGTGTATCATACTTTCTGACTTTGCTCCCTAGCTTAATGATTACTAATTACTTATTGAATTTCCCTTCGGAGATAAATAAAGTTCTTCTTATCTTATCTTAAATGAAAATGAATGAAATCTCATTTGCTCACTGTCCCTTGTGATATTTCTGTTTATGTAAAGTATTTCACAATGCATACTAGGGGTGTAAACAAATGTACTGTTTCAGCAGCACTTCTATGCAGGCGCACATCAGTGAAATTACCAGCTGAACCAAAGGGAATTCAAACCAAGGTCCCCACACACAGCATGCAAGGCCTGTCTTGTAGGGGCGAGAGTTAGGAGTCCACTCATTAACACTGCAGATCATCGCTTCATCTCGCAGGAAGAAAACCCAGAACGAACCTCTTATGGTTTACACAGAAAACCAAACTAACATCGAGCTTTTCTGTTCCTAGAAACCTGCTTTCAGCAGAGTAACTGATGTCCCATGTAGTTAGCAGCGGAGCGTGTTGTTCCTGTGTGTGCATTCGTGTGCACATTTTTGTTTGTATGTTAGCCTGACTTACAAGTGCCGGCATGCAGACAACAGAGAATATAGTACAAATAGTACAGTGTTTCCCTTCATTCATTCAGCAGGGGCGGTTAATTACGTGCGCTGCTAGTGAAATTTCAGATGATCATTAATATCAGTGCACTACTAATGATTTCTACTCCCACTGTGTGAGCACAACAACACAACGTTTTTTCGACTTGTTTAGAGTTATCAATCGGCGCATCAAGTCCTGTCGGACCCTCTTCCATTAACGTGAAGGGTAATGTTCAAGCTTATACACGGTCTATATGGTGAGTATTGCAGGTAACGCAACGTAACATGAACATAACAGCGTAGCTTCTTGAGTGGCAAGAGAGTGCAGGTAACAGCAATGTATACTTGGATACTGAGCCTATGCAAACAAGGCAATGGCTACGTTTTTCCGATAAATCAGTGCGATGTCTGTGCCACGACACCTAGTCGTGTAACAGCCTTGTTTTTTCACTAACTTTCCCCTATTTTCCTATTTGTCTGATCCATGAATATACAGGGTGTGATTGATATTTCTTCCAGTGTTGAATAATTTTCAGTTTCTCACTCGATTGTTTTCAGATCTTACTGGTTCAGGTTAAGAGCTGGCATCAAATTGAAGAGTTTGTGAGGCAAAGGCGACATCCTATCTTACATTTTCATCAAGTTAAAATACTTAAAATACAGCAACAATATTCTGACACACACCGATGACAGAAGACTGTTTAGATGAGCAATTCCGGTCAAATCCTAAATCCCAAAATGCTAATGAACCCAGACACCCGTTATACCCATTTCCTGCAGTTCATACTTGGTGCATTTATAGATTTTGGTGGCATTAAAGTCTGTGTTGCATTTTGTCAACTTCTGATAACAACTCACCGATAAGGCTTGTCAGAGTTGTGGATCCGCCGGTGGTTCCTCACGCCAACATACGTAGAGCTGGTGTAGTCGCAGACGTCGCACTTAAACATCTTCTGCACGCCACATTCTGTGAAAGAGGACAAATGAGGACTTCCTGAATTTAAATTTGACCATATTGAAAGGGGCCGAAATAAACAAGCCTCACGGTCAAGCAAGAGAATGCAGGTGAGAAAGTGAAGAGCAGCAGCAAAGAGAGATAGCAAAACTGATAAATGAGATGCTACTTCCTGATTATTTCTCAGCCGTTAAACCTAAAAACTTCTAAATGGATCCAGGCCCCCACACAGATGAGCAGGAAGGTACTGAATTTGGTGCAGCTAAAGTTACATTTCTTTTTCATGCCTAATGTGTGAGTCTGCTCCACCCACCATCACAGCCACTGCTGCTAAATTTCCCCTCCACAGATCCACGATACCAACGGCATCTAATAAAGACGCACAGGTTACACTTCTGTCTGCTGCTGACAGACAGAAGGAGGACAGAGACAACAGTGTCCTCTGGTTCCTGCGTGCTTTTCAGTCCTGACCCATGGAGCTCCAAAGCACTGCACAAAGACTGACACCATTTAAAGTAAGAGAGCTGGATATACACTGCACCACACACCTCCTCTGGGATGATGAATGAGAGTACAGAGTAGGGCAGAATGATAAATCACAGGAGCATTACAATTATGATGTCCAATAGTCACGTCAGAGGACGTGCAATGTCATCACACTGCCACCACTTTCTCACTGTGAACTCTTGTTATACACTGGAGATCAAAATTAGAGAACAACCCACAATTTCCTGGATGCCAAGTTCACCGCATTGTCCCGTTTTAAAATGATACAAGCTTGATTAAAAGAGCGGTACTTAAAGCATATTGCATGAGTTACAGGAAGCACAGTATAAAAAACTTAAAGGAGATATATAAAAACAACACTGATGAAAATTAGAGAACACTTGAAGTGGGACTGGGCAATTTGGCAAAAAAAAGTTATCACAATATATTTTGTCGTATCATCTGATCTTGACTATTATCAAATTTATTTATTTTTTTGTATTTTTTTAAACTGACGGTTTTCAAGCATCAGTAAAAACTAAAGAAACTAGAAATTAGTTCAACATTTTATTAATATACAAGGTAAATAACAAATCAAGTTAAATAAGATAAACTTAGAAAAATATAAAAAACATTTTAACTCAACAGTACAACAAATGTAGATAAATACTAAATAATAAAGTGGCCTAGTTTAAAGTCCTAAGTGTTTTTGAAGGTATGCAAGACCCAAAATAAACAGGAATGATGAAGACACCTTCAAATGTAAACATTAGATGATGTAAACGTAGATGATACTGTTGATTGCTGCTATGGTCTGGTGGCTGCACTGCTAGTTGTGGCTAAACTGCTAATGCTACTAGTGCCATCAGAAGTGACAGGGTGTGCCGACTCCACTCACATCTTCATGCTTTTCGCTTAACTTGGGAAGAACCATAGACTGTATATACTATTGACAACTTGGTTCCACCTACCGCCTGTATACGGATCTGAAGCCAAAAAGCTCTCGGTATTTCCGGGATTTTTCTTCATTGCCTGAAACCAGCGCTGCGCAGTAGCAATGCGTGCATTCGGCCGCACAGTCGCAAAAAGTAGCTGTGATGATGCTCGACTCAAACAGCGTATTCCCCGGGAGAGCTACGCAATCCCTGAACACCAATAGGCTGTATAAGGTGTCAATCATAGCAAAAATGAACCCCCTAGTAACTTTTAAAAACGGAGCTTCACAGAAAAAAAGAGGACTTGAGCACAAACCAGCCTGACAGTAACTACATGTCAACATTACAAGCAGGGGGGAGAAAAAATTATGTCATGTGTAGGCCTGGACGATATAGAAAAAAAGCATATCGATAAAAAATAAATCATATTGATCGATATCGATAATTATCGATATAATTGTTATAATTATTTAACATATATTTTAATTGCAGCCCTGGATGTTTTATGCTATTGCTTAATGACCTACTTTTAATAAAGAACACACAAGCACTGAATTCAAATTCAAACCTTTATTCAACCACCTTTTTTATTTTACCACAACTGAAAGTTTTTTTTAAAAAAGAACTTAAAAAAAAAAGAAATCAACTTAAGTGGCCTGAGTGACGTCAGTAAATACTGACAAACATAAAGACTAAAGTGACCAGAAAATCTGATAAATAAATATTTAAATAGTCTTTTGATGAAAATAAACAAAACAAACAAATATATAAATAAACAGAATAGCTTTAGGTGGGAATAGCATACTACCAGTTTTAACTGTGTGGGAAACTGCCCACAGCCTGGTGTCTGAACACTGAAATATTTCTCCCGGGGTCGGGAGATTTATTTTTTTTAATTATCATGTGATTGACTTAATACACAAACTAAGCACGAGAAGCAGGACTTATCCACGCCGGTGTTGTGTCGTAGAATGCACCCCTGCCGAATGCACCCCCTGCTAGTAGCCATGATCCAAATACTCGCGTCTTTGTAAAATATGAGCTCATTTTCTTCCACTTTAAGAAGCTACACCGGAACGTATTTCCTCCGCACCCTTCTCACCTTTTCAACCCCTGACCCATTTTCATGCCTGAAGCGCTGTGTTTGAGAAATACTTGCGGCCGGACACTTCATATCGCGGGTCGAGAGTGGCTAGAAGCTGTTTGAAGCCAGGCTTTTCAACGGTAGTTATTGGCAGTATGTCCCTCGCTATGGAGCATGTTACTGCATGGGTGATGTCCTTATGCCGCTCGGACGCTTTCTCGTATTTTGGCAAGAAACGAAGTCCAGCTTGGTCTGCTTCACATGCTTTGGGGTGGTGCTGGCAGCGGTTCCAGAGGATTCCTCCGAGGATGACGTGGAGCCGCGGCGCGGCCGACACAGCTCGTACTCCTGCGGGTGCGATCGGTTTAGATGGTAAAACAAGTTGGTTGTGTTACCAGACTTCGTTTTTACTAATTCTCTGCAAATTTTGCAAACGACCGCTGTTCGCTTTTTGTCAGACTTCTAAAAACCAAAACATTGCCATGCTGGTGAACTACTGAAACCCTTTTTTCGGGACAATGTCCTCCGCTTCTCCTTGCTGTATCATTTTTTCTAACACACGTGCTGTCTGTTGTGGTTTGATAGGGGCTGGGCTTGGTGCCGTAGCGTACCTGGGTCTGCGTTTGTGATTGGTTGGGAGGAAGTAATGACTGTAGTAAAAGCTACATGATAGGCTATGATGAAAAAGAAAGGGAAACTGTGTTTTTCTATCGAACTTTTTATCGACCCGTTTTTTTTCTATAGCACCACACGTCTATCGATCGATATATATTGTTATCGAATTATCGTCCAGCACTAGTCATGTGTAATAAATTTCTAAAGTTTGTCCACAGCCACATAAGCTTTGCTGGCGGAGGCGGGATTTATGACCTATACTGCAGCCCATCAACAGAGGGTGCTGTTCTCGGAGTGGCTTCACCCAGCGAGGAGGCAGACTCTGTCCATTCTATATACAGTGACCGAACCCTGTCTGGGTTCGGTCATTCTGTTTACTTTCTTAACTTCTCAGGCAACTTACAGAAGTGAGCAGGAAAAGCTTGACTCTTATTGGCTGTTGTCACATACATTTCTGCTATGTTTGATCGTGTAAATGTGCTCACAGCTGATCACCATGATGCAAGTGATATTAATTATGATTATCAAGCACGATCATATAATCGCCGACGCCTAAATTGAAGATATCTCCCAGTTAGTCTGGGACCCGGTGCTCATCTGACCGACCTGATATTTAAAAAAACCTCATTTCCAGTTTTCACTGACTTCACAAGATGGGATGTTCTGTAGGGACTGAAACCCTCATGCAGCAGGTTGTCCAGATGGAGGCCAAAAGGATGACCCTGTCAGCAATAGCAAGAGAGGAGCGTCACTCTAAATCTGTGCTGAACAGGGTAAAACTTTGTCCCGTCATACGGTTTCTCAATGTTTCAGAACATTTGGACTGAATACCCGCTCTGCAGTGAACTGTAACCTCTCTTTAGCAGAAAGAATCAAAAGGCTAGACTAACCTTTGCGGGGCAATAAGTTGAGTGGACAGAAGGAAACTGGTCCAAAAGTCACTTCAGAAATGAAAGCAAGTTTAATTTGTCTTGATCTGATGGAAAACACTATGTTTGTTGTCAAACTGGGAAAAGACTGAACCCAGAGTGCAAAAAAAGAAGTCAGTGAAAGGTGGAGGAGGAAGTGTCATGGTTTTGGAAATGTTTTCTGTAGCAGGGGTCGGTCCCTTATACAGTTACATGACAAAGCTCCATACAGCTTTCATACCAGACAATGCCCCCTGTCACACAGTAACACGAGTGAAGCAGCTCCTTGAAACTGAAAACATTGAAATAATTAAATGGACAGACCAGAGTCCTGATCTAAACCTGACAGAAAACCTCTGAAAAATCCTTGGTGACAAGGTTATGACCAAAAATCCTACTACAGTGACTGAACTGTGGAAGAGACTGAGACAAACATGGACCAAAATCACACCAGAGCAGTGGGAGTAGTGTTGGGTGGTATGATCATGTGACGGTGTAAAAGTGTCAACCGGTAGAAATGTTGCTATACCGTTTGTACTGGAGAGAGAGAGCAGATGTCTGCTGCATCTCTCAGAGTCAGTGTGTAGTTGTCTGCGCTTGCTAACAGGAAAGCCGGAGCGCATCTGTTTGGGTGCGTTAAAGTATATTCACCAGTGTGTTGGGCAGAGTTTGTTCGCTCCCTGTGATTGGTCAGGTTTGGATACGCTCCCTAATAATCACCAGCGTGTCGAAAAGACTGCTTGGCATAGTTTTGACAAAGAAGAAACAGTTTCACTGGTGGTGGTCATCATGGCGGATGCGGAGATTAGGTGCAGTACAGAGCAAGCGGAGGCAGCCCAACCCACCCAACATGAGGAAGAGGAGGAGGAACTCGTTTCGAAAAAAAAAACACGAGTCGCGACATCAGTTGTCTGGAGATTCTTTGGATTTAGAAAATCAGACAATGATCAAAAAACAATACTATGCAAAGAGTGTTGTGTGGCTGTCGTTGCTGGAGGTGGAAACACCGGCAACCTCTTCCACCATCTAAAGGTGAAACACGCCAAGTTCTATTAAGAGAGCCAAAAGATGCGTGGCACATCTGCTGGAGAAAAAATTATAGTTGCAGCTCCTCTCATACTAAAGAGCTTGTCCTAGTCTTTTGCCAAAGGTACTCAATATGATAAAAAATCACTAGACTGATCCGGCATTTCGTTTGCATTTGTTTACAGATCCGAGTTTAAAAATAAAAGGAAAATGAACAAATGTGACAGTTTGGTTATTTTTAAGGCATTAATTGAATTTACAGGGGGAAAAACGTACGGGGATGGATGGATGGATGGATGGATGGATGGATGGATGGATGGATGGATGGATAGATGGATAGATAGATAGATAGATAGATAGATAGATAGATAGATAGATAGATAGATAGACAGTGCAATAGCTTGTGGCAGGAACGATTTCCTGTATCTGTCCCTTCGACAGCGGAGCTGCAACGGTCTGTTGGAGAAGGAGCTCCGCTGTCTGTCCAGAGTGAGGTGGGGAGGGTGGTGAGGGTGTGGTGAAGTTACATACCGTGATTTAAGATTTTGTTCATTCCGCCCAACATTGAGTGGGAGAGACTGGTGATGTGCTCAAGTCATTTAAAGCAAAGGCCTGTACACTTCCTACTCATTTTTGACTGCCCTAACTTTTAGAAAATACTGTTGTTATCTTTTTTTGCACTTCCGGCATTTCTGTTCTTTAATTTTGATCATCGTATTTTTGGCATAATAAAGTTTTTTTTTTATTTCCTGAAGTTCCTTGTTTTGTTGTAAAACACTGTTCTAGTGGCATAGTGTCGATCGTGTTATTTCAGGATAAATCAAGTGTTCATTCATTGTTCTCTCATTTTGATCTCCAGCGTGTGATCAGAAAGTCAGTTTTGTTTAATCAGGACTTGAGGCACAGATGCGATTTAAACATGAAGAGAAATCATTTTTTGCATGAACACTCTGTGGATTTGCGAAGCTTCTTAAGTACCATGTTGCATCACCTGTACTCCCCCCTCAGTTTTTACTGTGTGGGTGTCAGAGCTGTTGTCAGAAGGCTGAACACAGTGGACTATCATTCGGACAGGCTTTGATTTGAAGGCTGAAAGATTCAAATTATAAATAGTTTCTAAGCACTAACTACACCTTTATATGGTCTAAATCCTTGTGTTGTTTGAATTGCTGTATGTATTGCAGAAAGGGGAGATACAGCTGTATTTGTTTTGTTCGATATCATGCAGCTCTAATTCAGTTATGACACGTTTCTTACCTTCATCTGTTCCTCTGTCTGTTTCCTCCACCATGGTCACTGTTTCATTGACAGGTGTGAGAGCAGCCACCTCGCTGCTGAAGCTGTGGTGCTCTCTTTCATGACTCCTCAACTGGCTCTGAGTCACAACAACAAAAACAACAAAACACAATTATACACGGATATGTCAAAGGCCGCCACACAAAGAAACAAAAACACACAAAACAACTGCAAAACTGAATTTGAATTCTCTAATCCGAATATTTTTTTTCTCTAGTTTGCATAAAAGCTGGAAAAATGTTACTGACTGAGGCTGCAAGTTTGAGACAAGTTGGATTAAATTTCCTTTCTTTGATAACAAATACATATGAGGAGAAAGCAGATATGATGACAGGGTTATTCTGCAGGAAATTGTCTCAGCTGACATGCAGTGTTGTTTTTAATATGCCCTCTAACCCACTTTAGGTCGCTCCAGGAGCGGATATCTTATTAGAGAGCCAGCCTCCACCTTCACACCAAGAAACCCTTCAAGTCTAACTTTCTATTCTGGAAGATAACAGGATGAACTTGATGAAGGATGGATAATCTAGGCTGCAGATCGGCACTGGAGTCCCATGATAGTGGAATAATCAATAGTTTTCTCCTCTGCTATTTCATCAGACTGAAGCAAACTTCCACTGCACCAAACTCTTTTAAACTTTCATCTCTTGTCAATATGGGCTCCACGCGCCAGCACAGACTTGTCTTTTTAGAGGTAAGCTCATTCTTACTCTTTGGCTGTTGTCGAAAAAACTGAGAATCTGACTGTGAAGCTGTGGGGTTTTAACGTCTTATTATGAGTCTGAGCAGATTACAGTTCGCTTCAGCTCCATCAATCATTATGCATTGTGGTATCAACGAAATTGAAGAACGCTGAATTTTCTTAAAATACATTTTCACCTTCATATTTCAGCAAGACAATGACAAACCACATTCTGACAACAGGGATTACAACAGTATGGCTCTGTAGTAGAAGAGTCCTGCTGAGAAACTGGTCTGCCTGCAGTCCTGACTTGTCCTCCATTGAAAACATTTGGAGCATCATGACACCAAAAACAGGACAAAGGAGACCCTGAACTGTTGAGCAGCTGAAATCCTCTATCAGGCAAGAATGGGACAACCTTCACTAAAAAGCCAATCTATAGCCACAAATAATGCTCAGAACAGCACCTAACTTCATCAACAGTACATATAGGGTCCCAGCCATAGCACTAACCACCAAACATCTTTTTAGCTTTGCCTGGTTTCTTAAGCAAAGAGACCAAAAACAACTCAACAACGCTCCTCCAGCAGCCGTTTGTTTGTGGGGGAGCCTTGACGAGCCGATCCCCGAGTGCAGCAGAGTTTCGCAGCTCAAGGAAGAACATTTATGATCATTACTTCATCGAAATGCAATCAGACCGAGACGCTAAGGCAGAAGAACTTCCGCGTCTGCAGTGCAAAATGATTTTTATGTTGATTATTACTTCATGGAAATGATCCGCTGCACTCTGTGATCAACTCATCAGGGCTCCCCAACAAACAAGCGGCTGCTGGAGGAGAGTGGGTGAGTTGTGTTTTGTCTCTTTGCTAAAGAAATCAGGCAAAGCTAAAACTATGTTTGGTGGCTAGTACTATGGCTGGGACCCTATTTGTACTGTTGATGATGTTAGGTGCTGTTCTGAGAATTATTTGTGGCTATAGAGTGACTTTTTGGTTGAGGTTTGTGCGTGGAGACGTAGACCGTTGTGTATTGCTTTTGTGCGGTCGTTACTAAAGTTGGTATAACTAGCGAAGCAAGCAGTCGGCAGCAATCATCTCTCGAGGGGGTGTCTCTCTCCGTGTTACGGTGTCTTTGACCATGACTTAAATTAACGCCGGAATATAACTAACTTAATAACTAACTATAATAACTATAACTAACTTTACAAATAACTTTTTAGAAACATGTTCCTAGCATCATATTTAAAATGAGCATGTATTTTTCAGAAAGGAGCTTTTTCAGCTAGTCTGCTCACCTTGTAGTGGAACGCATCTGGGCACAGCTTGCACTGGTACATCCTAGTCTTGCAGTGGTGGATCATGTGACTCTCCAGGTCCTTGCTGTCTGAGGCGATGTGCTCACAGATGGGACACTGATATGGCTGCCTCTGCCTGTGCACCCGTAGGTGCTGTTTAATGTAGCCCTTATTACCGCTGCTGTAGCGACACAGGCGGCATCGGTATGGCCTTTCACTGCCAGGGATGTAGTCCACCAGACCACCTTCAGAGGACGCAACCAGCCCATCCATTCCAGGGATGGTGATGTAACCTCCACTCCCTGCTCCCGTGACAACACTGGCCACGTCTCCATTTTGGAATTGCGCGTTGTCCTGGAGCTCTTTCAGGATATCCTCATCGGAGGTGTTTTGGTCAGAGCGCTCTCTGAGTCTTTCAATGACAGTCAGCAGTGACAGGCTGATGCCAGCCTTTGTGGCAGGGCCTTCCTCATCCCCCTCTCCTAGACACAGGGCCCCTAAATCTTCCTCTTTTCCCTTGCTATGAAGTTCCAGGTCTAACCGGGCTCCAGGTGCCCCTGCTGCGTCAGAAGCTTTGGATCCAGCTGGAGACATCTCTACGACTTTCTGGCTCTGTGCCGGGGCTGTAACGGTCTTCAGATTTACCTTGGCACTGGAGGTGGGAAGCTCAGGTGTCCTCATTGGCATGGCTACCAGAACTTCTGCAGCCAGAGAGTGCAGGCGAAGAGACTCAGAGTGGGTCCTCTTGCGACCAGCTGGGGGAATGTTTTCGTCCCGAGGTGAGTCGCTGCCTTTCAGGACAGAAGGTTTCATATCTGCTCCTGAAGGCTGGGTGTCAGCATCATCACTTTCACCACAGCCAACGTTGACCTCTTCCTTCACGGTTACCACGTGGTTTCTATCTTCTTCTGCATCCAGTAAGCTCTTTTCCCTCTCTACATCCGGACTGAGACGAAGAGGGTTAGACGCCATGACTGAATCCTCGGCTGAAGGAAGGCGCTCTACGATGACGTTGATATGGCCTGCACTGTTGGGACTGCTGTTAATAATCTTCTGAGCCGATGACAACAGGCTGTCTGTGGTCGCAATGCTATCATGGTGGCCATCAATCTCCAAGTCTGCTTCTGCCTCTGTCATCACCTGCACCTCCACAACGGGCTCCTCAGGAGTCAGACCCTTTATGGGGTACACGCTCCCCTCCTCTTCCTCCGTCTTTGGGCTTTTACTGAGATCAGAAACTGGGTGAGTCATATCCTCCCGTTTGTTCTCAACAGCCACCGGAGCAGAAAACAGCTGGAGTTTAAAGGCAGAAGGCAGGCTTTTGTCCTGAAGGACCGGGGACAGAACAACGATTTCCTCTCTGGCTGCCACAGTGTTCACTGCAGCTGAGACGTCCTTCCTCACAGGAGCCTCTTCTCCATCCTCAAAGATGGGGTAGGAGCAGTCCACCAGGCCTGCGTGCTTCCAGGCATGGGTTTTGAGCATTCGCTGCTGGCTGCACACATAGCTGCAGATCAGGCAGCGGTACAGTCCATACTCCTCATAGCTATACCACTTCTTCTTCTGTGGTAGCTCCTTGGAACAGTCCTGTGCAGCAGCTTTGCTCCCATCAGTTTCTATACTCCCACTGCTCCCAGTCCAGTCTCTATCCTGCTTTCTCAAACCCTCTACCTTTTCCTCGCTGTGGTTATCTGACACATTCGTCTTCAGGTTGTCAAAGTGCGTCCTGACATGTTGCTCCAGCTGCCTCTGGTCTCTGGAGGTGAAGCGACACTCTGAGCACATGAGGATGAGGTCACTGTGCTGCTCATTGTGCAGCTTCAGGTGCTCCTTCAGCAGGGGAAGTGTTTGGGAGAGATAGGGGCACAGACTGCACTGGTAGCATGTCACCGTCCGCTTGTGGTCACTGCTGCTTGGGTTGTCAGCCACCTCCGTTACCATGGAGCTGATACTGTTATTGTTACTGTCACCTGATGCAGGTGAAGAAAGAGTGCCATCAGCTGGTTTGCCCTCAAATTTCACTTTCTCCTCCTCTTTGCAGGCTTTCTTCACTTTCCTGGAGGGCGAGTTTTCTCTGATGTTTCTTCTTGCCCCTCCTTCACCACCCTCTCCTCCTGCTGAGAGGGCCTGCTGGAGCGCTCTTTTTTGTCCCGCCAAGGTGCACTGACGCTGGGGGCGCTTCTCCACTATTTTGCTGAGCATTTCAATCACGTGAATAAGAGAGTCTGCGGCTTGTCTCTGCTGAACGATCTGGGAGTTTTCCTCCACTGCTGCCTGCTGGGTGTGGGTTTGAGGG